TTCCTCTCTCTCCTTCTCTTCAGATTTTTCCTCTCTCTCCTTCTCTTCAGATTTTTCCTCTCTCTCCTTCTCTTCAGATTTTTCTCTCTCTCTTCAGATTTTCAGATTTTCCTCTCTCTCCTCTCTCTTCTTTTTTTTCCTCTCTCTCCTTCTCTTCAAATTTTTTCCTCTCTCTCCTTCTCTTCAGATTTTCCCCTCTCTCTCTTCTCTTCAGATTTTTCTCTCTCTCTCCTTCTCTTCAGATTTTTCCCCTCTCTCTCTCCTTCTCTTCAGATTTTTCCCCTCTCTCTCTCCTTCTCTTCAGATTTTTCCCCTCTCTCTCTCCTTCTCTTCAGATTTTTCCCCTCTCTCTCCTTCTCTTCAAATTTTTTTCTCTCCCTTCTCTCAGATTTCTCTTCTTTCTCCTTTTTCCCTCTCTCTCTCCTTCTCTTCAGATTTTTTCCCCTCTCTCTCTCTTTCTCCTCAGATTTTCCCCCTCTCTCTCTCCTTCTCCTCAGATTTTTCCTCTCTCTCTCTCCTTCTCCTCAGATTTTTCCCCTCTCTCTCTCTCCTTCTCCTCAGATTTTTCCCCTCTCTCTCTCTCCTTCTCCTCAGATTTTTCCCCTCTCTCTCTCTCTTTCTCCTTCTCAGATTTTTCCCCTCTCTCTCCTTCTCCTTCTCAGATTTTTCCTCTCTCTCACTTTGTTTTTCTCTCTCTTCAATTTTTTACCATTTTACTGTTATTTTTTTTCATTTTATTTTTCTTTCTCCTGATTCTACTTTCACTCATTCTCTCTCTCCTCTTTTCACTCTGTCTCTCTCTATCTCTCCCTCTGTCTCTCTTATTCTCCCTCCTCTGCTATTATCATACTGTTTGTTCCTGCTCTGCTCTTATTGCTCTGTCTCACTTTCTTCTGTTTTTGTCCCCCCTCTCTCTCTCTCTTCAGTTCCCCCTCTCTCTTTCTTGTCCTTCCTCTCTTTACCCTGTGTCACTTTCTTTCTTTCTTATGCTTATTTCATTTAATAAAGGATGATTATCATTATTATCATTTGATTTCCCATTCAGGTAAAATCCCTTAAGCATTTCTTCTGAAAAATAAGCTGATTCTCCATATTTAAGGCTATGATTTGATCCCCTCCTCCTCATCAGTTAGTCAGAATATAGATATTGACCCAGGAAATCAATCAGTTATTTGCGTCGATCAATGAGATTACAATCATTTTGCAATTTCATCAATCTGCACAAAAATTTTCATTTTAAAAAAAATTTTCATTTGATTTTAAAAATAATTTTTCTGTCTTTTTTTTCCGTACACTGATATTTTGTTGACCTTAAGAATTTGTTTCAGAATGCGATTTCCAACAACCTTATTGATTCTGTTTAACCAATTAAAACCAATGTCATCAATAACTTTTATTTGCCAAATGCACTCAAAAAGCTGGTGACCTTCATCCTCAATATCACAAGCATCAATGACGAGTCCTCAAAACTATACTGAGGTTAGCTAGTAACACTTTTATGACCTTAGATGAAAATTGATTATTTTCTATTAATTTAACATTTAATTTTTACTTTTTAAATGCCTTATTTCTCCACAATCATAGCACACCAGTTTCTGTTGCATTATCAAACCATATACTAATAAACAATGTGTATTTATTTATATATTTCCTGTCCCGTCTGTAGTGGAAAGGGAGGTAAATCAACTTAAGTTAGTAAATTTATAAATGATTACTTTCTTTAGTCATCTTAATAATCTATACAAATAAAATATTTATCTGCATTCAGACAAAATTGATTTGAAGCAAAATGAATTGTTCAATTAATTAAACTAAATTATTCTGACATTTTTTCTAGATTTGTAGTTTTATTTGTTCAAGCCTTTCATGTGAAGAACTCAGGTATTATTATCTATTAAGTGACATCTTAGAGGCTTATGTCATTTTGTTTGTGAGAAAGAGGTTGTAGGGTGGAAAATAATTTGTCACCCACAAGGACACAGAAACTGTCTTGAACTCTACTGAGACTGGAAAGTGAAGACTGGGCAACTCCTGCCTGTATATGGCAGCAGTACTGCATTTTTGGCTTGAGCTGACTCTTGTAAAGGTAGAGGATAACATGAGGAGTCAGGTACTTATTGGAGCAGTACAGGGAGCTGAACATTTTACCTGCATCTTTATCAATCGATCGTATGTACGAGCCCCACTTGAGATCTGAATCTTGGGTTTGACGATAAACTGCATTCATCAGCAAGGGCTTGGATCAGGAGTTTTGTAACACCTGTCAGGGACCCAGCTATGAACAAATAGTGACCCCCACCCACAAAAAGTAAAACACTATGAAAGTATAAAAATAGATTTTTATAGTAAAATTACCAGCTATAGACTTTCACAGTAAAAAAAAAATTACAAGCAATATATTTTTGAAAAAAATATTACCAACAATACATTTGACTCTCAAAAAGAAAACCTCTTTACAAAAATAACAATGAAACCTGATCTACAAACTGATTTATGCAAAGAATAGATATTCTATTTATACAAGCCTATCCAAAAAAAATCTTTTCAGCATTAAACCCATTGAGGTTGATATGCCATAAGACAAAATAAAGCAAACCTGATCTACAAACTGATTTCTTAACAAAGAATATATATTCTATTCATGTGAATCTATCCGAAAAATCTTGTCAACATTAAATAACCTATTGAGGGTGATGGGCCATAAAACAAAATAAATCAAACCACTCAAGACCTGGGTTGGGTTTAAGGCCCAATAGGCACTCAAGGCATGGGACCTCCCCAAAGGAATAATCATTCATTATGATTGATGTCAATTCAGGGTTCAATCAGCGAAGCCTCAATTCTTCTATCACAACCCTGTCACTACTCTTGGTGCTCACATTTCTTAGATTCATTAGTTTCACCAGTTCAGACCTTTACAGCTAACACCAGCCATGCTACATCCACAGGGTTGAATCATTCTCATTCCCTTTTTATTCCATTGTTAAGAAGGAAGTTCCACATGGATGCTTCTCTGCTCACTAGAATCTTAACGTCTTCAAATCTAGAGTCAACCTACATTTCCTCATATTCTGCACTTGAAACTGAGCGTAGGTGACTGAGTGAGATTTTTGTATGTCATAAGAGCAGGAAATGCTCTTATGAAATAAAAAAAATCACTCAGTAACCTACTACCTTGAATGGCTCTCGAGCCATGTATTAAGTGAACATTAAATATGAAGAAAAAATTTACAGTTAACTTATTTCAAAGGCAAACCTGTCTCTCTCTCTCTCTCTCTCTCTGTATGTTATATACTACATATTTTCAGGTCATGAGTAATCATGGCTCTCCACAGCTATCATTCTTCAATTTCAATGAAATTGTCCAATAAATGTTTCAATTGTTCTGCAGAGAAAAAAAAAATAGTTTTTAATTAAGTCCATCAAAAAAATTAATTTCCTTTGACCTAAAACAAAGCTCAAGAGTAACTCAAGGTAGAGAGTTACTGTTAAAATGTTCATGATGAATGAGGTTTATGATACAAATCAAAGAGGTAATGATAGAGAAAGGATAATGATAAACCATTGACTTGAAGAGTTTAAGATTGTTCACAACGTGGATTCTTTCTGAATTCTACAGTCACTCAAATTAGCAGTTCTTACGAAAGTCTGAGTAGGACTTCCTCCTTACATTTGGAAGATAGAAGAAATAGGGATGATCCAACTTAATGGAAGCCTCCTTTTCATTTGTGCATAGATACAACATGACGGTCTTCAACAAAAACACTAGGGAGAGATATGAGACACAGATACGATATGCTGATCCTTACCAGAAACACAAGCTATTTGGATATGAGACATAATGCGCAGATACTACATTGTGATCTTTGACAGAAACACAATGAAGGTATATGGGATACTTAGATATGAGGCAGAATTGCACAGATACTACATTCTAATCCTTGACAGAAACACTATGGAAATGTAGCAGAACTGCACAGATACTACATTCTAATCCTTGACAAAAATACTATGGAAATATACTTGGATATGTAGCAGAATTGCACAGATACTACATTCTGATCTTCAATGGAAACACTAATGAGAGGTACTTGGATATGAGATCAGTTAGTTATATACCATGTATGATACACACTTAGGTGATCATGTATCTTTCGATACATGACTGACGAGGCAGATTTTCTTCCCACAGTAGGTTGCCATTTCTTTCTGTGGTGGACCAGTTGCCATCCAAGGCTATAGAACCCAGTCTGTCCTGCTATTTACTTATAGGTTGGGGTGAGAAGAAGAGGATTCATACCTTTCTCAAGGGTATTAGCACGTAAGTGAACTTAATGGATTTGACTGGAATTTGAACTCTGCTCTCCGATTCCTCAATTCAAGCTGCTATCCATTACTCCACCATGCCAAGAATGCTTAAATGTTACATTCTGATCTTTGACAGAAACACTTGGCTGGGATACTTGGATATGAGGCACAATGCACAGGTACTATATTCTGAACCTTAACAGAAACTCTAGGCAGGGATACTTGGATATGAGGCAAAATACATAGATACTATGTTTTAACCTTTGACAAAGACATTAGTCAAGTGCATTTGGATATGAGGTTAAGTGCACAAATACTATGTTCTGATGAATTTGTGTCAGTCATTATATAATTAATATTGTCATCATTTTTGATGGGTACTCTGCTAGTAAAATCAAACTGTTTCCAGGAAATTAAAACATTACTGGAAAATAGATGAAATTCAACCTGTGTAAATTTTTGCTGCTATTATTCTGTGTTCAATTTTTTCATTCACAGTAGGTCCAAATCTGGAATCATTTGCATTACTGAAAATCCAGTCTTCAAGCAGCCAAAAAATAAAAAGCTCCTAATTGTAAAAAATGATTTTAATGTATAAATTATAAATTAATCAGTTAATTAATTAGTATGTATAAATTACTTGACTTCTTTTCATTTTAGTACTGCTATTTATTTGTTATTCAGTCTGTTGGACATATCACATTGAAACACTGATACCTGTATGATCACCAAAGTTAAGCAACGTTGAGCCTGGTTAATACCTAGATGGATGACCACTTGGGGATACCAGGTGCTGGGAGCTTAGATGTGTGGGAGGTGTAATGGATAATGGCTCAGAATTATTAATAAGGGAGCTGGGTTCCTATATGATCACCAAAGTTAAGCAACGTTGAGCCTGGTTAGTATCTAGATGGGTGACCACTTGAGAATACCAGGTGCTGTAAGCTTGGATGTGCAGGTGGTGTAATGGATAATGGCTCAGAATTGTTAATCGGAGAACTGAGTTTTGATTTCAATTGGTGTGACTATATTCACTTATGGGCAAATACCTTTGGGAAAGATATGAACCCATCTCTTCTCCCCCACAACTATGGGTTAATTAGTAAAACTTGTATTACTAAAGCATTATTATCTCTAAGAAAAAAAATTCTCACAGTCTAAAAATATTTTCTGGTTTTAAATAACCTGGAAAGAGTTGATAAGCCATAAAAAATGAATGAATCAATCAATTATTTGTTATTCAAAACAGTAAAAATTTTGATTATTAGACTCACAATTAAATATCATTATAATAATCTGGTCTTCTTCATTTTGCCTGTCTTTATAGCTTCTTTTTCTTTTTAAATGAGTTTTATTTAACCCTTTATTCCATCCAATGCAAAAGATTAATGTTTGAAAATTTTTTTTTTCTAGTCTCAGGAAAGTTGGATATATCATATTTCAAAATTTTTGATCTCATTTTAAAAAAAAAATTTTTTTTTTTTTGCTAAAATTTTTTTTTTTCATTCCTTCAAATTTTTTTTAAAAAAAAAAAAGCAATGATTGAATTTTAAAAAAATTTTAAACATATGATAGGATTTTTTGAATGCATTAAAAAAAAAATTTTTTTTCAAATTGACAAAAAAAAAAAAATAAATTTTTTATTAGATTGTTTTTAGGATGAAATTAAAAAACATTATCTAATTGCCAATTGATTTAAACTTTTAAAAAAAAAAAATAAAGATTTATTATTTTTTTTTTTTTATATTTTAATAATTTTTTAAATGTTTATAAATTTATGAATAAAAAATTTTTTCATATTTATTTTTATTTAAAATTGGTGATAAAAATTCATTTGCATTAAATATATTATAATACAATTATATTTTTTTTTAGAATGTTGTAAAATAAAATTATTCTTTATTAAATAAAAAAATTTAATAAATAAATAGTGGTTTTAATATTTTTTTTTTGCAAATTCTCAAGAAAAAATATAAAGAAAATTTTTGAAAATATATGAAACAATAAAAAATTTTTCAAAATTTTTCATAATATTTTGAAAACCTAGTGTGAATAAAAATCATTGTTTCAAATAATTATTTTCATTACTTTATTTGCATTTATTAATTATATTGTTTATTAGAATTTTTTAACAAAAGTTCAAACAAATTAAAAATTGATTTAAAAATTTTATAAAATAAAAAATAAAAATTTCCTTATTTTGGTTCACATTTTTTTAATAATTTAGTAAATGTTTATAAATTTATGAATAAAAAAATTTTTTTTTTAAATAAATTTCTTTATAAATTGCAAACTTTAAAACAAATGTTTTTTTTTTAGAATCAAATTGTAAATAATCAATCTAAAAAATAAATAGTAAATTTAATATTTTTTCATAAATTATAAGAAAAAAAAAATAAATTAATATTCATCATGTTTTAGTTTTATTACAATTATAATAATTTTTTAAAAAATTGCCCAAAATGCATTGCCTAAAATTTTTGTTAAAATAAATATAAAAGTAAAAAGGAAAAATTTAAAAAAAAAAAAAATTTCCAATTTTTTTTTTTTTTTTTTTTCATGGGTAAAAAATGATCCAAGTTTACCATATCCTATTATATAATATTTAATATGAAATATTTGAAAATTTTTGATTTGTTCATTAAATTTAAAATTGAAACAAATGAAAAATATCATAAAAAAAAAAAAAAAATATTAAAAAACATAAAAAAATGAAATTCAATATATTGATTTTTAAATATATAAATCAAAAGAAATACAAATTGCAACAATGAAGATGAACATGCTGGCTCAAATAGCATAAAAATATAAGTTTCATTAATTAATTCAAAACAATTAATTTAAATAATTATTTATAAGAAAAATGTACATTTGGTGCAATGTAAAAATTTGAATAAAACAGAGGCTCAGTTTGAATTCATTGGTTGGTTTTATTGTTTTCTTTAAACATGATTCAAATACCAAATGAATTGGAAAATATGAATCAAAATCTCTTCTAAAATTTTAATAAACATGGGTTTAATAGCTGGAAATAGACTGAGCCCTATAGTATAAATCAAATTGTTTTTAGATTTGGCACAAGGCCAAATTTATATAAAAAAGTGAGGATAAAACTCATTATCAAAAAAAAATTTCCTAAAATAAAAATTAAATAACAAAAAACATAATTATTTGAGGTGCCCATCACTTGATTTTCAAATATTATCAAAAATATAAATTGGACAATTTTGAAAAATATTTTTAACCCAGTGAGGATTAAACTCACTATTCAGAAAAAAAATTAAAAAAAAACAAAGGAAATTGCTTAAAATTAAAATTTCTCTAAAAAAAATTGTTACTGGGTCCTATATTTTTTTGGTCAACTTTTGAAGACAAAATTGTTAAATGAACAATTATATCATAAAGAAAAAATACAACAACAGTAGAAATAAGATTCTTGATTTTATTCTAAGGAAGAAACAAAGGGTTTGGGAACTTTAAAAATAAAATTTTTAAAGTTTCATAAAAAAAAGTTTATTTGAAATCTGGTTTTTTTATAGAAGTTCAACATGTTGTGTGAATTGTTGAAATTTCCCAACATGAATTTTATTTTTTTAAACCATTTGATTTGAATCCTGGGCATATGTTGACTTTTATTTGAAATCCATAATAAAAATAAAAGTTTTTTATTTTTTTTATTTTATAAATTTTTTTTATTTTTTTTTTTAATTTTTTTTTTTTGATTAAAATAAAAATTGGATGAATGTTTCAGTTCAAAAAAAATTCTTTAAATTACATTTTTAATTTTAAATAACCAGTTTGCAAAATTAAAATATTTTTGAATTTTAAAAAAGAAAAAATGGTCATTTTGAAAAGAAATTTTTTTAAAAAATTCACATTTTGTTCTTTTTCTTTATAATTTGCCTTAAAATATTTAGATATGTTTATTAATTTTTTAAAACTTTTAATGAAAAAAAACAATTATATTTTTTCAGTCATGAACTGAAAAAAAAATCAGATTGAACATCAAATGTTTATTTTTACGCCTCTTGACTATCAGATAATTAAAAATTATAAAAATCTATATATAAAAACAATGGTTAAAGCAAATTTTTTTTAAAGCAATATAATGAGCCTGGTCAATACCTAGATGGTTAACCAACTTTTTAAGAATACCAGGTTTTTTAAGGTTGGATCATATGCAGGTTTTTATTAATGGATAAAAAAAAATTAAAAAATCAAAAAATTTTTAAAAATTTGGGTTCATCATATTCATTTATGTACAAATGCACTTCAGAATTTTTAAATCCATCTTTTTCCCCCAGGAGAAATTTTAGTTAAATTTAAAAAAAAACAAAATAAATTTTTTAATTCTTAGAAAAAAAAATTCTTAAAAATAAAAAAATATTTTCTAGTTTTAAAAATTTATGCAAAAGGTTGAAAATGAAAAAAATAAATAAATTAAATGACTTTTAAATATTTGTCTTTTTTTTACAAATAAAAAAAAAGAAAATGATTTTTTTCTCAAGCAATTTAATACTTTTCAACAAAAAAAAAATAATATGAATTTTATTTTAAAATTGGGTCTCCATTTAAAAATTAAGGTCTCAAATAAAAAAATGTCAAATTACAAATAAAACATTAATTTTTTAAATAATAATGTAAGCAAAACATAAAAAAAACTCTCCTCTAAAAAAAAATGAATTTTCCCTTTTTAATTTATATTTTGCATGTAAGTTTTGTGAAAAATTTTTTTACCACTATCTAAGACTTAGGAAGCTAATTTTACAACTTTTTTAATTTTGCATTGCTATATTTGTTCATCCAAACAAAAGCCTTATGCCAAACTAAACTAAAAAAAATTAAAAAATCGTTTTGAGTAAAAACAAATTAATTTCAAAAACCAAATGAAGCTTGTCTATAACTTTTTTGACTTTAGTCAATCATTATGGTACCCTATATTAAAGTGTCCTTTTTCAATTTAGAAATGAATAAAAAAATTTCTAAAATGCATATATATAACAATGGTTTAACAAGCTAATTTTACATAACATTTGGTATTATAAAAATATATATCTATTTATATATATATTATTATATATATATAATATACATAGGGGTGTGATGGATAAATTTTTGCCATTTTATATTTTTAATTTTAAATATATATTATTGTTTGTTTTTTGATTTTGTTGACTGCACAGTATAGTAGGGTCAGTTGGGCACCATCTGTGAGAAAAAAGAGCACCATGACACAATTCACTCTGCCAGAAATTTGGAAATGGCATGCTGTACTGCTTGGCATTTTGCACTGGAAGCTCCAATATGAACATTTCAGAGTGTTTGGGTGTCAATCTGAGGACAGTGCAGAGGATTCAGAAAGAGTTGGATGAGTCTAATGGTGATTATGAAGGTGTTTGGCAGCTCAGAAAATTCACTGATGATTATTCTGATAAGAAAAGAACTCCCATTTTCTTTGGTGAGGGCCTCAGACTCAACACAGAGGCCTACATCAAAGTGCCTTGAGGAGGTAGTGCTGCCCTGGGTCAAGAGGGTGGCTGCTGGAAGACCCTATGTCTGGCAACAGGACTCTGCACCATGCCACACAAGCAGGAGAACCCAGTCATGGCTGTCAGACAATTTCTGCAACCACATCACTCCTTACATCTGGCCACCTAACTCCCCAGACTGCAACCCCCTTGATTATTTATGTGTGGGGTGCAGTTGAGCAAGAGACCAACAAAACTCCTTGTAACACCAAAGATGAACTGAAGGCAAGGATTATGGCAGCATTCACCAACTTAAACAAGGAGACTGTCCAGAAGAGTTGCAGGAGATTCCAAAGTCATCTGGAGGCTGTGGTTGAAGCCAATGGCGATTTTATTGAATAAATTTACTCTTTAGTATTTCAATATATTTTTGTGTAATTTTGGTAAATATATCTGTTAAAATGAGATGTCGGTGTT